CACCATAACTGAAGTGTTTATAGTGTCAATTAGACATTAAACCATTTTTTTTAAATGTTTTAATGCTGAACAAGAGTCCTCAAACCACAACCCCTCTGTGCTGCTTGAGCAAGTGACAATTAGCTGTTGTGATTTCCTGAATGTGTCAGCTGACCACATTCAGCTTATCACAGTGCCATTACAGGTATAAATTGGTATGGCTACAAGGAAGTGTGCAATCTCTGCCCTAGCCACACTGCCAATCTTTAAAACAACTCTCTGGCTAAAGGTGCATGTATATGGCTGAAGGATATACATGTAGGGATGAGTTTATCACTTTTTGTTACATATACTTTTTAAAAAATATATTTTTTAATTTGATGAAACAACTATTATATAATAAAATAGTTGTGAGGTGACAAGTGACCTTTCATCTCTAAACTTAAGCCTAAATTACCCCTATCCAGAGCCGGATTTAACCTCTCTTCTGCTTCAAGGCCAATTTTCTCAATGCTCCAACTCAGGTTATTTCCTGTATGCATTTATGTATGTTAGTGATTACCTGTATGTATTTGTACATGGCGGTAACGGCCTATATGCATGTGTATATGGGGGTGATTGTTTGTATTCATGTATATGGGGGTGATAGTCTGTGCTGTGAGGGAAAAAAGTATTTGATCCCCTGCTGATTTTGAATGTTTGCCCACTGACAAAGAAATGATCAGTCTTTAATTTTAATGGTATATGTATGTGAACAGTGAGAGACAGAATAACAAAAAAATAAAAATCCAGAAATACGCATGTCAAAAAAGTTATACATTGATTTGCATGTCAATGAGTGAAATACGTTTTTGATCCACTATCAATCAGCAAGATTTCTGACTCCAAGGTGTCTTTTATACAGGTAACAAGCTGAGATTAGGAGCACTCTCTTAAAGGGAATGCTCCTAATCTCAATTCGTTACCTGTATAAAAAAACATGTCCACAGAAGCAATCAAGCAGGTTCTAAACTCTCCATCATGGCCAAGACCAAAGAGCTGTCCAAGGATGTTAGGGACAAGATTGTAGACCTATAAAAGGCTGGAATGGGCTACAAGACCATCGCCAAGCAGCTTGGTAAGAAGGTGACAACAGTTGGTGCGATTATTCCCAAATGGAAGAAACACAAAATAACTGTCAGTCTCCCTCGGTCTGGTGCTCCATGCAAGATCTCACCTCGTGGTGTTTCAATGATCATGAGAATGGTGAGGAATCAGCCCAGAGCTACACAGGAGGATCTTGTTAATGATCTCAAGGCAGTTGTGACATAGTCACCAAGAAAACTATTGGTAACACACTACGCCATGAAGGACTGAAATCCTGCAGTGCCCGCAAGGTCCCCCTGCTCATTATAGCACATGTACAGGCCCGTCTAAAGTTTGACAATGAACATCTGAATGATTCAGAGGAGAGCTGGGTGAAAGTGTTGTGGTCAGATGAGACCAAAATCAAGCTCTTTGGCATCAACAACTCGCCGTGTTTGGAGAAGGAGGAATGCTGCCTATGACCCCAAGAACACCATCCCCACCGTCAAACATGGAGGTGGAAACATAATGCTTTGGGAGTGTTTTTCTGCTAAGGGGACAGGACAACAGCACTGCATCAAAGGGACGATGGACGTGGCCATGTACTGTCAAATCTTGCGTAAAAACCTCCTTCCCTCAACCAGGGCAATGAATATGGGTCGTGGATAGGTGTTCCAGGATGACAATGACCCAAAACACACAGCCAAGGCAACAAAGGAGTGGCTCAAGAAGAAGCACATTAAGGTTCTGGAGTGGCCTAGCCAGTGTCCAGACCTTAATGCCATAGAAAATCTGTGGATGGAGCTGAAGGTTCGAGTTGTCAAAAATCAGCCTCGAAATCTTAATGACTTGGAGAGGATTTGCAAAGAGGAGTGGGACAAAATCTCTCCTGAGATGTGTGCAAACCTGGTGGCCTACTACAAGAAATGTCTGACCTCTGTGATTGCCAACAAGGGTTTTGCCACCAAGTACAAAGTCGAACGGGTCAAATACTTATTTCACTCACTGACATGCAAATCAATTTATTACTTTTTTTTGACATGCATTTTTCTGGAATTGTTTTTGTTATTTTGTCTCTCACTGTTAAAAATACACCTACCATTAAAGTTATAGACTGATCATTTCTTTGTCAGTGGACAAACATTCAAAATCAGCAGGGGATCAAATACTTTTTTCACTCACTGTGTGTGTGTATTGAGGTAAATGTATGTATGCATGTGTATATGGGGGTGCTTGTCTATATGTGTCTGTATATGGGGGGTGATTTCCTGTTTGTTTATATATAGTCGTATCAAAATGACTAAAAACTGTAAAATCACAAAAGCTGTGATTGTATATTAGAGAGTACATGTGTTTGCTACTATAATAGAGCTTGTTCCACACATATCT